CCTCTTCTTTATCCAGTCATCTGTCAATGGGCATTTAGGTTGTTTCCATGTCTTGGCTATTGTAAACAGTGTTAATATGAACATTGGGGTGCATGTATCTTTTTGAATTAGAGTCCTCTCCAGATACATGCCCAGGAGTGGGACTGCTGCATCATATCATAAGTTTATTTTTAGTTTTTTAAGGAATCTCAATACTGTTTTCCATAATAGCTGCACCAAACTACATTCCCACCAGCAGTTTAGGAGGGTTCCCTCTTCTTCACACCCTCTCCAACATTTATCTTTTATGGACTTTTGGACCATTCTGACTGGTGTGAGATGATATGTCATTGTGGTTTTGATTTGCATTTCTCTGATAATTAGTGATATTGAGCTAAATGCATTTTTAATTTAGGGCATGGGAATCAATTTTCTTTCTTTCTTCCTTCCTTCCTCCCCACTCCTTTCTTTTTCTCTTTCCTCCTTTCATCTTTTACCTAAACTCTTTCAGAGTCTCCATTAAGCTGAACTGGGTTCAATCAGTTTCCCCGTTCTTTGCTAGGTCCCAACACTGACATGTGTATTGTGCTGGAAGGGCCCGTGGAATCATCTAGTCCAGTGTTCTCATCTTATATAAGGGAGGTGAGGTCTAGTGAGGGAAGGAACACAGATCTGACTCCCGTGCAGCTCCACACAGTACAGTTTCTAAATCTTAAATTCACTGAGGAAGGAGAGAGGCTATACAAGTGAAGCAGGAAAACCTTATTCCGTTGGAGGGGGAGTCTGGGTGTTCTGGCCAATTACAGAGGCCATATGGAACTATCTTTGGGCCACCCACCTTTCTACCCACTCATTTGTTCATCTGTTTATCTGTTCACCTCTTCATTCATCCATCCATCCACCCATCCATCCATCCACCCACCCACCTGTCCTTTCCATCCATCCCTCCCTGCCTCCAATGTGTCTCATGCTTTGCGTATATGAGGCCCCATGCTAGGAGCTATGGTGCCTGCTGTACCTTTCAGTCCGCTTGTCAGAGAAGACAGAAGCCCAGAAACAATTACAGCACAAAAGAGACTAACCCCAGTGCCGTAGGAGAGATCCATACAGTTCCAGTGGTCTCAGAAGAATAAAAAAATTACCAGGTTTGAGGAATCAGATCAGAGTGGGTTGCCCAGAAAAGGTGGTGTTTACAATGGGCTTTGATGATCACCAGGTGGAATTGGGGAGGGACCTGTCGGCCCAGTGGTGTGAGTTCAAGGCATGTTGGGAAAATGGGAGGTGAGCAGGATGAAACAGCATGGACAGACCTCTTTTCCTACCCAGGCTGGTGGCCTTGGACACATCGCTGTGATAGTCTCAGAGGGGCTGGTGATCCCTGGGCTTCTCTGTCTCCCTGAAGTGGCAGTGGGAGAGCTCCTGAGGCTGTGGTTTGCTGACCGAGTCATGCTTAGTGGTGGCAAACTCGCCTTGTACAGAGCCTGGGGCCTTTGGCCCTCATCAAGTTTCCATCCAGCGGAGCGAGCCGTTTGAACCCTCCAGGTGTCTCTGCTCCCCGCGCTGGCTGCTGCCTGCCTGCCTGCTCACCACCCCTTCATGGGTTCAAGGCAGAAGCTGCAGCACGTGTGGGGCGCTGCCTTGCTGCTCAGGCTATAGCCCTGGGTGGAGAGGGCGAGGCGGTCAGCCAATTCCCAAAGGCCAGAGGCTATTCCTCCCTGGTGGCCATGATAGAACCCTAGGCCTTCATCGCTGGCTTAGGGGCCTGAGATCCTGCCCCTGTTCTGCTCCGACAGAATACGTGGCCTGTGTGGGGTGGTTTCAGCCTCGACCTGGGCAAGGGATTGTCCTCTGCCCTCAAACCCTAACCAATGCCCCCACCCCCTCCACGGGCTGATGCTAAAAGTTTCCTTCAGGGAACAAAGCAGTCCAGGGAAGAGGGGTTCCACAAGCCTGGATATGAATCTTGACTCCACCCTTTACTAGTTGTTTGGCCTTGGGACCCATAATATCCCCTGCTTAAGCCTCAGTTTCCCCACTTATAAAATGGGGATTAATACCTACCTCATCGGATTGTTGGGATTTAAAAAAAAAGTGTATAATGCCTTGATCACAGTACCAAGCACACAGCACTTAATTTGAGGGTCTGCCCTGAGGGTA